CGGGGACAATCGTCCCAAATTTCTCTTATCGCACGTCCCTCGGTCCTCGGGACAGCGCTTAATTCCCTCGTATGGAACGAAATTGCTGTTGCCGAGGATAGCCGAACCCGGATATGGTATGTGGACATCTAAACGCCCGATTGCTTGAGCGCAAGAACTACCCTTCCACACTGTGTCGATGACTATCAGGGCTCAGTGTCAAAATCTCACCATATAAAGTTGCTGAGAGAAGGAGATATATGTCGCCTTGTTGTACACCAGAAATGGGGCACACCCATGGGCACGGTGAGTATAGATTTGGGCGGGAACCAGTCCCAGATTTGGTTTTCGTGTAAATCTTGTACAGAAACTGGGCTGGTGACTTCACTTCTGGGTCGCCTCTGATGAAATTTGAGGAGAGGTGAGCTGTAAGAAGTCTATATAGATATATACAAAAACCTGAGGCAGTAGGATAGAGGGAGGGTCAGAAAACGCGCAGTGTCCCGAGGACCCATGGTGTCCCGAGGACCCGTGTATGACTGTACATCCCGAGCCTATAAGTTGCAATGCATGTCGTTTGCCTCCCAGATGCCACCGAAACTATATACACGACATGATGAATCACTCGGTACGAACAATAGCGAAGGACTGCAATAATTTCTCCATCCTGTCCAATTGACTCGTGAGCTCCGACATTTTACTCTCAAGAGCGGCTAACCGCTCCTGCGCCTTGCTTGTTTCGTCCGATGTACTGTCGTCTTGCGTCTTGCAGACGACAAGATTGTGCGTCGCAAGGTGGTGTTCGTCGTGGAAGAAGCCTGCATGCTGCTCGTCGCATTCAGAGCAAATGAAAGCGTTAACCGTCTCTGTAAGCCTCGTCAGCCAGCACGGAGAGTGGCTTGGATGTTCCCGCACTACGTACCTGGACAGTCGATGCAGTAGAGACAGGGCATAGAGACGACAGCCGCACATTTGATACACCGCGGGACGACAACCTCGCCCTCCGACGCAGAGTCTGTCGACATCGTCGTTGTCACTCGCCTCAAAGGCGCAGGCACGACTTTCGTTTCCGGCAAGTTCGTCGGCTCATCCTTGTCATCCTCTTCGCTTTCCTCGTCCTCCCGTTGCTTCGCCTCCTCCAATAACCTCTTCGCGCGCTCAAGCCCAGCTTTCGCGCTCCGCAGGACCTTTCCGATCTCGCGGTAGTGTAGGATCGCCGTGCGGATCTTGACGAAATTGTGAGTAGGAAGATGAGGAGTGGTGAAATCGTCGCGCGTCTTGATCGTGCAACCGACGCATGCGAGTTTGTCACAGAAATCGAAGGTGAACCGAGATCCGCACTCCATGCAGACTATGCGCGTGCCGAGAATTGGCTCGCCACAGTGGTCACAGATAACTCCGCTGTCAGCGAGGTCAATACAGACCTTCACCCAGGATCAAGAAACATACGCACAAATGCTCGATGACGGATCTCTGCCGGATGTCCTGCAGGACGTAAAAGCACCGCACGTCGTTGAACGTCGAGCGCTGGTCGAGCACTCCGAACCGTTCGACGTCCTCGCTGGTCAGAATGCCTTCTTCCTCTTTCTGTGCGAGCTTCAAGTACTCTAGCCGCAGGTCTCGCCGTTCTTTAATATACGACCACGAGAACATCTTCCTTCGTACGTCATTGCGCACCACGGTGAGTGCGTACTTCCATAGCGCTCTGATCCTGTTCTCTTTGAACTCCTTGGGGTGTGGCCGGTCGACGAGTACTTCGGGTGGTACGCGCTTGAAGAGGAACGTGTATGGCTGATCGTCCTTCTCGTATCCCCACCTCCCGGACAGCGTCTCGCCGTCGTCCTCGAGCCTACCCGTCCAGTACGACTTGCGGAAGCGTGCGATGTATGAGCGCGAGATGTTGTATTCGACCGTCCCATCGTCCTTCGTCGTGTAGTCCCCAATCAAGTTATAATCCGTCCCGTTCGCGCCATTTGCACTCGCCTCGTATGTCTTATGGTCCATGGACGCGTGGAAGCAGAACGTATACATGGATGTGATGATGTCGCCCTCGCTGATCAGGAAACCATTCCAACGTCCTAGACTAGACGTTCTGTTAGCCGACTGACAACGACATGAAGGGAGGAGAACTGACATCAGGCGTACAGCATCGTCAGCCGCTGCGTCATTCTCCGTAATAGGGTCCTCCACACAAGGAGGGTACAAGTCTGCCCCAGCAGACGGATAGTTGAGGAGCTTGTTGACGTCGACATCCTGGTCCTCTTTCGAGTCGTCGTACTCGACTTCCATGAACTCAAGCGTCCGCAGGTTGTCCAGTGACCAAAACTTCTCTGAGTCGTGCCAGTAGTCAAACTAGTAGTGGAAAGCGTGATGGGCATGAGCTCGCAGAGATGATGGAATCAGTTGTGCGACGTACCAGCTCGCTTGCGAAGACCTTAAACTGTTCGGTGGCATCCAGTTTCTGCTGTTTAAATGAGGCTGTTGGCATGTGAAGCTCGTAAGGGAAACTCACGCCCTAGTGCAGAAGATACACAGTATGTCAGACGAACCTAGCAGATCGTTATGGCGGTCTGTTATGGCATCAAAGACCCAGACTATGGTGTCGGCAGAATCCCACAACTCGTCCTTGTGGATGACCGTCGTTCGACACAAGCGGAATATCTCGAAGTCGCGGTGTAGAAGAAGCCACAGAAGAGGGAAGAGATACTACGAGTGACTGCATATCAGCTTCACTGGCGGTGCAGATTGATGACGACAATATGCTCACCTTCTCTATGCGGCCGGGACCTGTGGTGAGCAACAAAGTGTCCATTGCATCAATGTCATACTTGACTGTCTCTAAGCCCTCGCGCAGACGCTGTTCCTCTTCTTCGACATAACTTTTGAAACGCTCTTGAAGAGCATCGGATTGGTAGGTGGTGACGAGGGAAGACGTCAGCGTGGATAGCTTCCGCCACACCGTTCGCAAGTATTTATCGACTGCGTTCCGGTTCGCCGGATGAACCTGCGGTCGGATAGCGAACATCTTCGCGAAGATCTCTACCATCATGTCCCTATACTTCGTTGCGGTCATCTGCCATCCGATCGCCCAGTAGGCAAGCCAATGAGGGAGGCTGCAGTGGTAGTCGTTGAGGATCTGATCTAACACGTCAGCCTCCAATAAAGGACATACCTCCACCCTTTCGGTCGCGATGCAGTGAACTGGTTGACTTCAGCGATGGTAATGAACCCCGACGCGTCATCGTCAAATGCTTCCGCTATTGCCTGTAATCTGTTGATGTTGATCCATTCCAAAGCCCATTCGTCTTTATCCGCCACCCTGCTCACGGGAGCTTCTCCATGAGCGTGAGTCTTACGCTTCTTCTCTGCCTGCTGGCGGTAGAAGTCGCGTAGCGCAAGTACGAAGTGCCGTGCTTTGACGTGTCCAGGCCATCGCTATATGGTGCGTCATTGATGTGCTTCTGCAAACTTGTCAACGCGGCTACACCCACCATGTCCTTCCAGATTTCGTGAATGTCCTTGGAGTGGTCAGTCAGTAGATGCTCCTACAGTGAGATAGCAGGTGGAAACGTACAGGATCGATGATCCTGTCGTGCGGACCAGAGGTGATCGCTTCTATAACACGGTCGCCTTCATGGTGTACCATCCGTCGCATCTCCTCAGCCAGCTCCCTCTGCTGCATCTTGAACTTACGCTCAAACACCTCCAAATTCTTCTTAATGGCGAGCTCGGGGCTGTCGAACAGCTCCTGCTTCACTACGGCCAAGTCATCTCCTTCTGAATGGCTATTGTGTTCCCCCACATCCTTCCCGGTCCCTTGCTTCGTCTGGTCACTAGCCACAGCAGGGCGAAACTTCATCAACTCCTTTAGCGCGACGTTGTCGGCCATGACCACCGTCGGCCCACCCTTCTTTTGCACGAGAGCGGCGAGTTCGAGCTGCTCCGGCGAAATGGCCTTGGAGAAGAAATCTAGCACCATGTCTATCTTCGCGTCGATAGCCTTCAGTCTCCGATTGGCGTCGTCGACGCCTACGCCGATGTGGATCGAAAGTGCGAAGGTGACCGCCTTGCGGCGTTTCGCGAAAAGGTCGATAAAGCCTGACAGCGTCCCGTCCCAAATGCTGCCCTTGATAACTTTGACGATGAGCTTCTTTTTCGCGTAGGTATCACACGCATTCGCGCAGGTCTTGATGTCTTCTGAGATCTGTTTGACGAGTTCTTGTAAACGGGCCTTGATCGTCTGGCCATCGGGCCCGACGGACTCCTCGTCCTTGATTCCGCGCAGCCTAAAGGGAGTTCAAGATGGCTCTCATGTACTTACACAAGACGTACTGAAGAAGCGCTTCCATCAAGTCGCGCATCTCGACGAACAGCACACCGATTTTCTTGTCATTGTCCCGGCGCTTCATATCAAGCTCAACAACGACACGGAAAGCGCCCACAGCGACTGCAGATTCAAACAGGACCATCAGAACGTGGCCATCGGCAAAGGGAATATAAATTAGACGGACTTCCGATGAACGGATGAATTTTGGCGACCTCGTCCAAAGCCTTCACGATGCCCGGGAGACTGTCGACAAGGGTGTTCACGCCCTCGCGGATAGTCTTCATCGCATCGCTCTCATATACCGTCTTCATCGGCGACGAGTAGCTCTGCGCACTAGCGACATTGGTCTGGATAGAGTTGACCGCCGTACCTGAGAGTGGTTCGTGAGTAGCGCATCGATGAAGACAGCAAGTACTGCTCCTACTGGTTATGTTCAGAACTTTCAGGGATCTTGAGCCCTTGTAATCCTGAACATCTTCACCAGCGTCTCCTATGGCCTGAAAAGCCCCATCGAGTTGCTTCGCCATGTCAAGGTCCTCCGTGTTACCGTTCAATGGCTTAGGGAAGTGGATGGGTGGTAGGGCAGGAGGTGGTTCATCTGGTTTGGGGATCCTCGACGCTGGGCCAGGGGATTGCGACGTCGAGCGGGACTTAGGTGTCTTTGGACGTCTACTGAACAAAGGCATGGCGGAGAAAAAGGGCAAACCGTCCACAAGTAGGCGGAAGACTTGAGCTGAACGTCTCAGGCCCCTTCAGTTATCATCGGAAGATGTATTGGAGCCCAACGATGAATGTTCCAAGCTCGGGCTAGTGGCCGCCGCCAATTGACCAAATCGGCCGCGTGGATCAGTAACCAACGCATAGTCTGACAGGATAGACATTCACTTGAAATACAAGGGATTCCTGCGCAGACGTCTGCGCCAGTAGGATTGGCAAATGGCCAGTCTTGTCAGATCCGATGCCGGCGGAGGGTTCTTATCACTGATGTAGCCAAGGCAATTGAACAGATGAGACGTTGGAACATTTGCAAAAAAAATGGCCGAAGACCACAAAGCCGTGCTTCTCAGTGCCCACGCGCAGTCAATACAAATTGGCGTTTTACACATCGGTCTCCGGTGTACCTCATTCCGAATAGTACCTGGTTATAATTAGTAGACCAACTGCAATTTCCCGAACGGCACCAGCGCGTAGATTGATCGTACAAAGTCATGAGTCGGCATATTCCCTGCAGCTTAGAGACAAGCCGGGCTCGAGTATTGGGACATACCTATCATTTTAGTGCCCTCCTCGCTCACCACCACATCGCTTCCTATCGAGGACGGGGTGTCTCAGCGATCGGTTGGCAAGTGGCGACAAATGCACAAAATCGCCAGGTAGAGTGACATCTACGCTTCAAAACCTGTATGGACATTGCATGTCATGCAGCTGCAGACTGAAAGAAGCTTGCCATGCATTGCGAGCACAAGAAGGACTATGGCAGTCGTGGGTTAGGGAGAGGAATCGTGTCTCATTGCCGCCGCCATGCCGATAAGGGTAGCCGCGCATTGGCAGGGTTCAGCAGCCTAGCTGCCTAGGTCGTCCTTCTCTTGCATAGGCATCTGCTCTGGCAAACGCATCCCTCGCTTTTCATCATCTTGAACAAACACCCTAAAGACGATTCACCGCTGAGACGTGAATAACATGACGAGGGTTAATAGTGGTATCGCTGAGCGTGTGCACGGTGGGCAGCGTGGGACTACTGACCATCGAGGGCGAAGGAAATGCCGTCGGCTTGCCGTCGTATCTTGACCCTCTGCTAGCCATGTCCGTCCACGAGAAAGCTCCCCTCCTCGCTGATGACAAGACTTCGCCTTCGCGCCTACCAGCGAAGAAGTCTGAAGCCAAGTTTCGGCTGGTCATCCATGGAGGCGCGGGAACGATGGACAAGTCGCGCTCGACTCCAGAGCTGCGTGCCAAGTATAAGGCAGCGCTGACTCGCGCACTGCTCGCGGGATACGCAGTGCTCGCAGCGGGAGGAGATGCAATGGACGCAGCAGTCGCAGCGGTGTCTTCGATGGAAGGTGCGTAATTGAGTTCCGTATCTTACCAGATGAAACGAGCCATCTGGGCGTGTAGATTGTCCGCTCTTCAACTCAGGGAGAGGTGCGGTTTTCAACGTCGCAGGAAAGGTAAGTCCGACTCATGTCTCTTGTGCTTCCCCGCAATAACCTCGAAAAGAACGAGCTCGAGACATCTCTCATGCTTTCGCGCCCTCCGTCGACCCATCCCTCCATTCCGTCCACGCGCCGTGGCGTAGGGATAACCCTCCTGTCCCACGCACGTAACCCTTGCAAGCTCGCGCGCACCCTGTACCTATCCCCTGGCACTGCTCCACATACTATGTTCTCGGGTGCTGCGGCCGAAAGCCTCGGGGAGCCGCTCGGCGTCGAACTGGTGGACGAGAGCTACTTCTTCACGGAGCAGCGCTGGCGCGAGCACAGACGCGGCTTGGGTCTTCCCGAGGAACCGCTACCCTACCCATCCAAGCCGGGAGGAGATGATGAAGACAACACACAGGTCCCGCTAGATCAACTTCCGACGGGGACAGTAGGCGCGGTTGCACTGGACGTGCAAGGTTGCATCGCGTCAGTGACCTCCACAGGCGGTCGGACAAACAAGCTTGTCGGACGTGTCGGAGACACACCAAGCATGGGTTCCGGCTTCTGGGCGGAGGAGTGGACAGTGAAAGGCTGGCCCAGAAGAGTGTGGCGACACATACGGGGTAAGAGCAAGCATGTTGCCGTGGGTATCAGCGGCACTGGCGACGGCGACGTGGGTGGTTCTGCCTTTGAATTCTCTAATCTCTCTCTTATGAGGATCTTCATTGTCTAGTATTTCATACGACTTGCGACAGCTTCCACCATCGGCCGCAGGATGAAGTACATGCATGAGCCTTTGTCTGTTGCTGCCAAAGCGTGCATCGAGGAACTTCGCCGTGATGGAGGCATTGGAGGCGTGATCGCTCTCGACAATGCTGGCAATGGTGAGCTCTGACTCGATCTGTAACAGCAGCTGCTCATTCCCATCCTCATGATGTGCCCAGTATCGATGCCATTGAATTGTTCCGGAATGTACAGAGGCGTGGTATACGAGGATGGCGTGCCCAAGACGGCCATCTTCGACGACGACGAACTGGACTGAGTAGAGCTTATGACTCAATGTCATCAAATAGGAACACGCTGAGTCTGATATCAGCGGACTTTACTTCGTCTGACTCGGCGTATTTCTTGAATGCATATTGTTATACCCAGCATTGAGTTTCTCCACCTCTTTCTACATTCAACTCGATGCTGTTCGGCATGGTCTCAGCGATAACTTCTCCTTCTACACAGTATGTCCTCCGTGTCGATCCTCAATAGCAGAGTCTGATAGATCTACAACGGCTCGTAATCGGTAACGCCGCTAGCTTTTTCGGCCGTCTTGCACCTGGATTCGTTCGAAGTCCGGTGTCTCGAACTTCATCATCATTCGGGCGCCCATATGCGCCGTGCTTGTCTCTCCCATGGTAGCACTCGGTAACGTCGCTGCTGCGGTCGTCATTGGGATCCCCTACGGCTTTTTGGAGCACATAAGTAAATATTGCGCAATTGTTGCTTTCCAAGCGGATCCTGTAGGTCGAATGATATCGTTATGCCGTGCCCTGTCCTGGCTGTTTTGACTGCTCATATGTCTGAGCTAAGGCGTCGGAGGATATCTCTGGCAACGCTGGAGTACATATTCCTGCTCTTTGCCGAGTCGCACGGGTCTGACATTGGTCAGCGTCCGTTGGGGCAACCAGCAACGGTGCACTACTTGCTGGCCAGCATAGATGGCGGCAACCTGTATTGTTGTAACGGGGTGAGTGATCACGATCGCGTCTCTTCCTTACTCCAGAGCTTTTTGATCAACGGCATGTCCAGCTGAGAGGCCTTGCCGGCGCAGCCTTCATCTCTTCTAAAACCCTCACGCAACGGGTGAGGGTTGCAATTGAGAACACCATGACGGAGAAGGCGTGACAGGGAGGTATCAAAAGAAGAATATGACGATCACTGGACTTCCGACTATGGACAATATTGCAGTGCCAGCCAGGTTGTGAATTGCAACTCAGATCTCATACGATGTTGCCGATGATGAGCTCTGGTGTTTCACAGCCTTGTCAGGCTTCGCAGCGTGCCTAGCGAATGTTTCACACTTCCAGACGCAGGTGATCACCTCAATCGCCTCAATCCACCTTCTCACTTGCAAGACAAATCGAAATTTCCACGTGACTCATGTCCGGGCAGGACTTTCCATCCTCAATGTCTCTACCAAGATTGAGGCCCTGCGCTGCTGAAGAAGGTGAAAGCAGATGTCCATGTCCTGCCTCTTTCCAGCTATATGCTCTGAACTCTATCAATCCATTCGGCGCCGTATCGGCTCATCGCGCCGCTCGTATCGACGTCTGTCGGGGCGATTCGTTGCTTTTCCGGAGCATGAAAAACGGACAGAGCTTCGCTCTCATGATACCTGCATTATCAAACCGCAGAACTTGCGGTTCGCGGCGCCCTTGACACTGGTATGTTCTATATTTAATCCAAATAGCAAGTTCATAACCAATGGCACGGCCCCCCGGCAGACGTAACCTTGATTCTGGCTGCCAGGGCGTTCAGATATCGGCGCGATCCCTAGTACATATAGGACTGCGCCGTACTAGCGACCCAAACTCTTGTCACCCGTACTCGACCTTAGGCAACACTGTCCCTGCCCCACCTGCCGATCTGAACCTCAGCATGCTAAGTCCGACACCCGAGCCTAATGTTCCTACCTTGCTGCCTAGGAAGACAAGCCTTGTGGAGCGGTGAATGGCATATAAATATGACGACCTCGCATCCGTGGACATAATCTTCACACATCTTCCGTATCTTGAGGTTCCCATCTCGACATGCAGGTCCAAAGCACCCTGTTGCGCCTCTGTAAGTACACAGCCGAAAGTAAGGATACTTACTAAAACGAATGTTAGCTAATGGTTCTGCGGTTGCCCGAGGTTCGGGGCACAAGTCTTCACATCCCGAGGCTACAAAGCCTAGAAAGACAGCGGTCAGTATGATTCTGAGAGACTCTACCCTCGTGCCAGCCGAAACCCTCGCTACAACTCTAATTTCTAGTGCGAATACTGTCACAGCATTCACAAGCGATGTATTGGCCGGCTGCCCTGCGCGCGCTGTGTCGCTAGAGGGATCTGGGAGGACTGTACCCCGCACCGCCGTCGAAAGCATATCCCGGCTTTGCTTTTCCCGGTCCAAGGGATATTCTCCCCGAAATCAGAGTTGGCGCAAAGCGAGAACTCCTTATTAGCATTCAGCTCCGAGGTCTTCCCAACCAACATGCTAGGAGAAGTTGTTGTGAGTATCCTATCATGTCCAACAGCATCACAGACCCTTGACCTACAAGCAATGTTACCATTGTATAGGCGGACCGAAGCAACAACATACTTCCAACTCATCCACTCAGCCTAACGACGCCATCCCCCACTGCTCTTCCTTCTCATGGTATTCCGGACACCCAGCTCGGTGCCACAGGCCAATGGCAGTTTCCGTATGGAAGCGAAGCGTCTCAAACTCCCGCAGACTCGATATACATACATTCGGGGCTGGCTATAGATCGGGGCTCCCATCCCGTGTATGCTGATCATGGAAGGCTTGAGCTAACAGCTACGAGTCCGTATCCGGAGTTGATGCCGGACGCCATGAGCTGGAGGATGCCTTACGCACAGTTTTTAGATACACTATATCCCTGTATATGGAATCGATGGTCGAGCAGGTCTATGGAATACTTAGTAGGAGCAAGTCTAGTCCGACTGTACCAAGACTCGACTCGCTACCAGCGCTAAAATAATTTCAAGCGCGCTAATGGGTGTTGTAAACGCCCATAAACGTTGCTTGCTCACAAGTCGCCAACTTTCCCCCAAGTCCTTCTCCTCCGACCACGGCCATTCTCCCCTCGCAGCTTCTTTGACACCTCCATACTCCTTTTGCTACACTAGCCGTCAATATCCTGTGAGGTTGCTCACAATAGTGTGCTAGGATCACGGAAGAAGCAAATGCTTGCGCGACAGTCTTTCACACGTGTCTGCCCATGCGTCGGAGGACGCTGCCTCACAGGTATGCATCATGATTTCTTCTATGAGACGTGACGCTGACGTATGGGTAGCGTCTTTCTCTGGGCTGCGCGAGGTCGGTAGGCAGGAGTTCCGCAGAAGGGACTTCTCCACTGCATCGAAGTGCGTTGCGTGTCACGTTTGAACTCCAATCGCTAACAGTCCCGTAAGGCCCAACTCCATCTTTTCTCCTGAGGCGGATCCATGGGACGAGATTTTCGATGATATCAAAGACATGCCGCGCGTCCAACCTCCACCGACTGTTAATCCACGCAGTCTCAAGTCGGCGTCCATCGGGCGGGTCAATTCCCAGGATATTCGGAAAGTCGCCATGACCCGTCAGGAAAGCGTAAGATTCAGCGAAATGTTCGACTCTATCTTCAAACCGAACTCCAATGCGGCCGCAACAGGCGGTATCGGCGAGGTTCCCGGCGACAGCCCTGTCGCCGACCAGCTTCGTACGGCTAGACGTCTCCGCTGGACCAGTGACGCGGACCAAGAGCTTGACCGCAAAAAGGAGGAGATGGAGCTCTGTGAGAGCGACCTCCAGCTGCTCGAATGGGCCATGCGTGAAGTCTTCGGCGAGTCTGAGCGCTACGCTGAAGCCGCTGCACGCACTTCGTCTGAGTCCAGGCCCTTCTCTGTTTCGACCAAAAAGTCCACTCCGGACGCCTCCTCAGACTTAAACCTCCCCCTTCAACCGCTCTCCTACCCTCATCTCCTCGCTGCGCTCATGCGCACCTTCCGGGACAAGTACCGCGACCCGCACCTCACACTTGCGATGTTCGACCACGCGCGGAACCTCTCGATCGCGTCTTTCGTGTTTGGCTGCACGACGCCCGCGTACAACGAGCTGATCGAGACGCGCTGGCGGTGCTTCCGTGACCTGCGCGGAGTGACAGATGCGCTCGAGGAGATGCGCGTAAACGGGATCAAGATGGACGGCCGGACGCGTATGCTCGCGGAGACGATCCGTCGCGAGGTCGGCGAGCGCACGCTCTGGCAGGAGGAGAGCTCGCTTGGGTCCGGGGAGGTCTGGGAGATGGTCGCGCGCATCGAGCGCCTGACGGTCGTCGAGACGCCGAAGACGAAGACGAAGCGCCAGAGCATTACTGCCACTAGTGCGAGCACGAAGCCGACGGAGCACGCTCCTGCGAGGCGGTCGCGCAGATGGGGAGCGGATCAGGAGATGTGGAAAAAGGAGGCGCTGGATTCGGACGCTCGAGACAATTGGGGCTTCGACAAATGGGCACCGAAGAAGACCAGACCGGCGCAGAAGCGGCCCCTTCTACTCTGATAACCTATACCTTCCCCTTGTAGATCGGAGCGGTGATGGAGGATGCTACCGTACTATCAGATGCTAAGTAATATATCATAGGTGCATAATCTCTACTCGACTACCCCCATTGCGCAGACTCGAGCAGACTAGAACTAGTGAGGTGGTATTGGAGACTTTCACGACTGGATTTGTAAGTCCTTCCGTGAGTCGTACAAGAGCAGATGAATGTCCGTACACAACATCTCAGCAGGGAGATTACAAGTGGGTGTAAATGGTCAAGTAGTTACGGACGCACAAAACGGCGCACTCGCTTCTGCAATTATAACAATCATGTAATCACAAAGATGGGCAATTGACGCTAACTGATCTACTCTTAGGTCTCGGTGGCCCTTGTTCAATATGAATGCATGTCTTCATATCCAGGTATTTGCAATTCTCAAAACATTGGTCAACACGTACGGATTGAGTCCACTCAATGGCTCTGCAGGGTATATGGACTCGGGCAAATTATCATCAGATGTGCGCTTGCACGACTACATTACGCAGGGTTTGGCGAGTTTCGCCATTACAGTGATTTGCAAAAAACACTGCAGGTCGTGGGCAAGGCTATTTGTTGCTATTTGGCATCCCCGGGAAGCGCTTGCCCGGGACGGAACGGCTCAACATTCTCTGTACTTATTTGCATTTGAATCTGATAGAGTACGAGGAGGGATGTAGGAAAATTACTTCCCTTTGATTCCGAAGCAGCCATGGAATTGCCAACTCAAGCATTGTTATAATAGATACAATGGTCCTGAGCGCCCAGTGCCCGAAACAGAAGTTCGCGCCGTAAACGCCCGGGAACAAACATGGGCAAATAGCTCGCCGCGCGGATGCGACCTGCAGTGTTTTTTGCAAATCACTGTAATCGACTACGTGAATACGTGGCTACGCAGACCGGTGGCTACGCAGCCCACTACGCTCAGTCGTACACATTCTCCACCATCTAACGGCGCAATTGGCTACCACAGACGACGTCTCCGCGGATCGTTCAATGAGAACTGCTCGACTAGACTATTCATGTTTCCATTGCTCGCGTCGATCACAGGCATCGCCCATCCAGTGGTAGCAGAGCCTAGTGCAGTCGTAAGTCGGGAAGTGGTGTAGTCTGCTGCGACCCATTGAAACATTTCAGGTATGGGTTGAGTCTGGGAAGTCGGTGCGAAATGCTCGACGCTGGCTCTTGCCATAGTCACTGAACCGTCATGCATAGTCCACTGGTTCGGGACCAGAGGAGCGTAGTAGTCGAGCGGAGCATGTGGAAGACGCCCGCCTGTGAACGTTGTGTTTGACTGGTGGGTACCTTGCGCTTCCTGGTAACGACATCAGCTGCTATACGACTGCCATATCACACCCCGACTGGTAAAGAGCGACTCACCTGTAACAGAGACAAGGCTTCGTGCAGTTGTATCTCAGGATACAACATGCTTGAGTGGGCAGCCGTGTTCAATGGAATGTCGCCCCTCGCGTGCCTTGTGGGTTGACCATGCCACTCTGCGGCAATCGCGGGCTCAAGTGGTGTGTACCCGCTGGGAGCACTACCCTCCTGTGGTTTGTGCGGCCCTCAGTGCACCGTGAGTGCTCACATCCTTACCGCCCTCTAGTATAGCACTCACCGGAGGTCCAGACAGGAACTCTTCCTGGTCCAGGACAACGTCCAACGAAGGTGCTTCACCAGCCGACAAGAAGGAGGATGTCGGAAGCGTCGGTGAGCACGAAGTTGACTGTACGAGCGAAGACCAGTCATGCTTCTGACGCTTGTGCTCGAAACACTGTTCGGCGCGGCCGGCTTTGCGGCAGCGTTCGCATGGGAGTGGGCCCACGCATCTCTTATGAACAGTGTGGCAGGACTCGCACTGACGGAGAGAAATCATGTTAGCATACATCAAGGCCAGGTACGGCCATTGCCCACTGCGCGCTTGCCGACTCTTCCCCCGTTCCTCTCTGACGCGGAGAAGCTGCGCGTTCTGAGCCGAGCTGTTGGGAAGGAGGCTCATAAACGGGGGTGACGAATTCCATGGTACGCCCAAACATACTAGAGAAACTTGAAGTCTGGGGCATGGTTAGCTTAACAAGGGACAATGACCCCGTGAGGGACTAGGGGGACGAATGATGGCGAATGACACAAGCATAGCGAATTTATATGTGTCAGAGGTCTGTTGGGGCAAAGGTCGTCTGTATTGGGCAGAGATTCAAGTGCTTATATGGCTATGGCCAAGGCTCCCGTTCCTCTTCTGTCTGCCAGGGAACGTTGTAACGGTCCACCGAACGGCCAGTGCAAGGCTACTTCTTCGCCGACTCGGCCTGTGCTCGACCGATATGCGTACAAGCTTCTTCGCCGCTGTGCAAGCCTCCGCGGCGATAGCGGTGGATGAAACAGCGTACATATAGCTGTTTTCCGTCCATCCGTTTCAGCTGTGAAGCGTCAACCATAAGTACGGCTAGACCCCGTAAGCGGTGCCCCTCTGCCAAAAAAAAGACATACCCAGCCTGATTGCGTGCGGTATTCGGACGATCATTGTCGGTTGACAGCATGAGTTCATCGGAGAAGCCCACCCGCACTTGTTTCGCCGATCGATGCTACCTGGTGCCGGTGCACAAGGCGCGAGCCACAGATACAGAAGCTTCTATCCCGAGTACCTCGACGACAACACGCCTCGTATGAGCATCTAGGGCACGTCGTGTTTCGTAATTACCAGCAGCTAATACGATGTATTGTGATGCTTTTTGGTACAATTACAGGGGGGGAGAAGTAGCTAGGACTAGCAGGTATGGAACTACTGACGATCATATCACTACGGTAGTCGTACTGTGCTTTGTGCCAGCCAGGGGGATCGTATTGAGAGAGCACGCGCGAAAAGCAAGAACAGAAGAGATCCGAGTCCGAGTTCCGAGGTCCAGAATGTTCGTGTTCCGTCCACGCGTTAGCGTGGACATGGCCGCCAGCAAACGAGCTTAGTTGCCAACGAGCGGCGCACGCTCCTCGTCGAGCGAGATCCCACGGCCGCCGTTGCGGATCTTGAGCCCGACGCCGATGGCAGCCTTGACGACCCAGACGAGCGAGAGGATTGAAAAGGCGAGCGCGGACCAGTGGATGAACGCCGGGTGGCGCTGGTGCGCGAAGATGGCCCAGAGCGACCACGAGATGGCGATGCTCGCGGGCAGGTCGCCCTCCGAGGACGAGAAGGCGTACGTCGCGGCCGTCGCCTCGAGGAAGAAGCTGTGGAAGTCAAAACGTCAGCTGCTGCCGGCGGAGCGCACAAGAACGACGGGGGTCATGATTGACGTCATAGGATAGCGCAGATGCGAATGTTCGGGAGGGGTGTGATTGAGAACGTGGGGGAAAGGTGTACGTACAAGGCGAGGAACGCAAATACGTCAGTCCAGACTCCGGCGCGCTCAACTGAGGCGTTGATGCCGAATGCTTCGAACGCGGTGAGGATGACAAGCACAGTCGTCCAGCCGTGATAGAGCGAGAACGGGAGGTGGACAAAGACCTCGTCCGCAGTGCTCTGAGGCTCGTGGTACTTCTTGACGATGTAGTAAATGTGCTGTGCGCGCAGTCCAGGTCAGATGGTGAAACTTCGGCGGCGCTATAGTTGTAAGTGTATAGTACGTACCGTGACAGCCGAACTGACAAGGAGCGCGAAGACGAAGGCTGCGGAGTGCGTCAATTGAGTTAGCAGCCGCGTGCGGAATCGGCGAGTGGAGCGTGAGGTCGTGTGCGTACCTGCGATATAGTAGTGCCTGCCCCAAAGGTTGACGTAGATGGCGTTGAGAACGGCAAGGAGGGGCAGCCGCCAGCCAACACCGTCAATAATAACTTGCTTGCCACCCTCGAAGAACTGGTAGATGATGGTGCCGAGGAGAAGTAGGTGGATAAGAGACCTGCATCGACGTTAGGACAAGAGCACAAAGGGAGGTCGCCGGGAGCGTACCAGATGAGGAAGGCCCACGGGGCGGGAGTCACGTAGGTCTCCTTGCCGGTGTAGTAGATGTCACGAGGCCCGGTGACGGTGAATATGTTGGAACCGAGGAAGAGGAAGTAGGCTACGACATTGATAATCTAGCAGAGCGAGCGTTGAGCTTGGCTGCATACGAGAACAAAGAGAGGACGAGGTACCTTGAGAAAGAGACCGTCAGACCAGTTGCTGTGGGATGGCATTGTGAGGTCTTGGCGTCGAGGAAGTCGTCAAGGGCGTGCTGGGGGTGAGGGAGTGAGGGCAAGGGGCGGTGGGGTGAGGTGATGAAGGCTTTATAGACGTGGAATGAGACTGGCGCAAGATTGCAGGCAGCGACGCCATCAAGCACACAGCCCGCGGTTGACGTCAGTTCCGGGGGGCCTTGTGCGGGCACGTGGACAGTCGGCACGTGAACAGCCGGCAGGTGGACACTTGCCCTGTTTGGCTTCCCAGACGCCGAGGGGGTCCCACGCGAGAGTCGCGTGCGGGTCGAGGAGGCGTCGCGAGCGTGGCAGGGAGTCGGACGCCGAGTCGGACACCGAGTCTTGGGATGTCGACCTACGCGCCCCGCCATTCGCCCTCCGCGTTCTCCACCCCCGCTGCCACCACCCTCTTCCGCCGCCTCACATGGGAGGGCACCGTCCCCCTCGAGATCCGCGTCGACCCCAAGGAGCTCCCCGCAAACTCGGACCGCGGCCTCGAATGCTACTACATCCAGGCCCCCCGCGTCAGCTACCTCCCCCTCCTCGTCCCGGAGATCAAGCGCTTCCTCATGGACGTCGTCTTTGACGAGAACGCTGCCAGGGTCCTCAAGGAGGAGGACTGGTGGTTCGAGAGCGACGAGGGAACTCTCCTCAAGTGGTCCGTCCCCATTCCGCTCGTGTGCCCTCCGGCGACCATGCTCACCTCGAGGTTGTACTTACCGCAGGCATTGGCCCATCGGGCTTATCTACGACAACCATACCATCACCCTCTCCGCCCGCCCGAATGCTGTCCCCTCTTTCTTCACGCCTCTCCGTCTCATCCTCCACCTTGCTTCCCCGCCGACCGAGAAGCTGCTTCTCGCCCCCAACGCGGAAGCATGCAAGCAAGCCTTCATGGGCCAGCTGAAGGAGGCCGACTTCATCCGCTGGGGCAACACCAAGCGCATGACAGGCCTCCGGAAGGCGGAGCAGGATGGTCTCTGGGAAGGCATCAAAGAGCGTAAGCCACTTGGTCTTGTCCCCGTCCGTTCTGCCCCTCCTGTAGCTGAACCTCCTCTGCTCCGTGCAGACAACTTTGACGAGTATTGGCGCGTTGCCTCAAAGATCACACCCACCACAGCACCAACACGGTCAAACTCTCCACCGCCACCGCCTTCTTCGACATCACTACACACCCGCCCACCATCTGCAGATCCGCAGTCGAGTGCCGGCCCCGACAAGGATGGCGCGACGAACGTCCGGAACGTCCCCGTCCGAATCTATCTCCCGGACGGGCCGGTCCTGCAAGATCTCGTCCCTCCAATCTTAGAAGACGGTACGTCCCACCTCTCCACGCACATGTCTTTCCTGTTGCGTGCGTCGCACGCAGCTCCTGCGCAGCCAGCAGCTCGCAGCCCGCAGCTCCCCCTACTTGTGCTCGCATGTCGAGGTACTAACACTTGCTGCGCGCGCAGGCACGATGCACGTCCTCTCGACGTTCCTGACCGCCCGACTGTCGCTCCTCTTCCCCGAACCGAGCTCCGGGAAGCCCAACCTCGGGTACGCACTCATCCAGGGCGTACCCGCCCCTCCTGACACGGAGATGGCGTGGCTCGGGGCATGCATGGCGGGCGCGGACGGCTGGGTGAATGTCTGTGTTGGCCTTTTGCGGGAGAGCGCATGATACCCAGAGCGCTCCTTGGGTGCGATGGGGGAGTACTCGAGGTGATACTAGATATGGCACAGATCGAACGTGTACCAGTTCTGCCGACGAGAAAATTGCGACATCTTCGTATCATCGTGCCGGATCGGCGTGTACATGAAGACTACTGGAGACAGCTTGGAACGGGTAAATTATCCTACTGAGACGGCCTGTGGACAGTACGCAGGACTCGCACAAGGAGACATTGCGGGATATTTCGGCACGAAAAGCTATGTGCAACACTGGAACCAGTGCCAACAACCGTCCGTAAGAAAAGATGAAGTCAACTCGAGTCGGATTCGCGTCCAACACCATGATCGAGGTGAAGGCAGTCAACGTCTGGTGCACTCGGATCGTCTTGAAGCCACTGCCGTGGACTTGCACGGCGCCGAGCGCAGTCGAAGAGCATTGCGGCCTACGTGCCGGCCAACGACGTCGCAACCAAGCCTAGCAAGTCTGGCCGAGTCGTTCCAGGCGGGGTTTCCGCCGTCTGCCGAACTTCCGGGTGGTCCCTCATCCACTGCGACCTTAACCTGTGGACGCATGGCTGAAGCCAATGCTCGGTCCTTGATATGTCGGCGGTACGTCTTGGGACATCCGGGACGTCAGGCCGTACGACGCTGATGAGCGTCGGGGCGTAGAGGACATCGGGGAAGGTCAGCTCCGCAGGTTCCTTATTAACGGCGACGCGTGACGATTCTGTTGTCACGTATATGAGCCGGCTTTGTATCAAACAGACATGCATACTGATATTGTGGCGTTGGATCCAATGAATGCGAAACGCACCTTCTGCAGTCGGCGCAGGCTGGTTGTCGGCTTGTGAGAAGTGTGCAGTCACCGGCTAAACGAGAAGACGCACAGTCTATTGGGACGGACAGTAACATAGATATGAGGTGTGGTCGGGGCCCAAACATACCGTTACAGTAGTCCCATATGACGAGGCGAAGTCCACGAAGACAACATCGTGCTACACACTTGTGTCTTCCACTGGAATGATATAGCGCATATGTCTAATCACGACTGACCCATCATTCGCACCAGACGATAGCGTCTTTCCCTCCGGGGAGAAAGCTAAGAGCCAGACCGCGTCCTTGTGCTCGGAGAATATCCCCATGCATGATCCATCGTCCGTTCTCCACAGCCGCACCTTCTCGTCCGATGATGCGGATGCAACATGCTTCCCGCACGGCGAGAAGCACGCGGCCCCGACCCCGCCGGTGTGTCCTTCGAGGGAAAGGATCATGGTGCCGCTGTATGTGTCGAGGATCTTCGGTGTATCGCCCCAGAAAGTAGACAGCATGCGCGTCCCATCCGACGAGAATGCCACTACGGTTACCCGCCTCGTATGCATTCTTGAGAAGACGAGACACTGTCCCGTCTGCACATCCCAGATCCGAACACCACCATCCACATATCCAGTGGCAAGGCATGTGCCCTGAAAATTCAATGCGGCGGCGCAGCACCGTGGACCCGCATTTTCGTCTTTCTCGCCCTTCGCGACCTTGTCTTCCTCGTTCTCTTCATCTATAGCAGCCTTATCCTCAGTATACTCCCCTTCTGCGACACGAAAGTTGTTGTGCATCGCGCCGCGCCCGACATCCCATACGCGGCACCTCTGTGAGCCTATCAATACAAGCCAGCGTCCGTCGAAGGAGAAGTAGACATGGTAAAAGTCGTTGGTAGACATGTCCAGCAGATGGAGCTGTTGGAATTTCCGAGTGTCCCAGAGCCGTACCGTGTTATCCCAAGATCCAGATACAATCAGAGTGCCGTCGGGCGACCAGGCACAGTGATCGACCGCTTGAGTATGCCCTTAAGGGTTGCGATCTTCCGGGCGCCTTGACTGACGTCCCAGACCGCGATCTTTCTGTCCCTGCCCCCGGATGCAAGATGCCGACTATCGGGGGAGAATGCGAGTGAGGGGACAGATCCAGTATGTGCCACCCATTCGTGGACGAGCTGCCCGTCGGAGTCCCACAAGATGATAGTGCAGTCCCAGGATGCCGTGGCGAGACGCGAGCCTTCTGGAGAGTAGACAAGAGACGAGAGCCGCTCATCATGGCCGAGAGCGATATCTATGCAAGGGGTAAGTCATCTGGAGACGGTCATTGTAAGCTGTGCCGTAACAAACCTGCGCTCGAAGGTATTTTGAGTGATCCACGCTCCGTCAGCTTCGGGAAATATTTCCCGAGCTCTTCAGACCTAAGAGCCTTTCCCCAAGAGCGAGTATGGAGGTCGCCGAAGGGCAAGAGTTGTGGATGACGGTAGCTGAGCAGCGTCTGGTCCAATCAATTCAGAGCACAGGTGAAGATTGGCTTCGTCACCTCCAATCCACCACAACAGCTCCCCAACGGTCGATTGTAGCTCTACAGAGACTTCATTCAACCTTGGCGGATGGAACTCCTTCGATATCTTGATCAATGCCTCAAACCGATCCTGATTAGTGGATACCGTGAGGGTGAAGGTGAGGGTAAGGGTGAGGAGCTCAGGCCAGTGTCCTGTGGGTTGTGATCTTGTCGTTACTATACCGCCAACTGCATAGTATTGTTGCGAAATTTTCTCACCGCAGAGTAATAATGCTCTGGGACCTGAAGGTATGCTGAACGTTATGTCCAGCGATAATATCTCCACGGTGGATTGAGCCGAGTCGAGTAACAACTTCGTCGCCGTTTCGTGTACGTTATAGCCTATCTGTCACAGCGGTGTGTGTCAATCAGGCATAGGGGTAGAGAAGCGTCATAAGGGGCTAACATTGATATTTCTGAGCTCACGTCGTTGAGACCTCAGGCGTTGTTCGAGCACGGCACCATTAGCGGCCGTCCCCCCGATTCCCAGGCGCTCGCAGCATAGGTCTTTGATGGCAGTAAAAGCTAGGAGTACTCGGCAGAGCTCTTGAATCGTCCTGAAGGAGAGCGAAACAAGAGATAGAGAGGTGATGTTTGTCCCAAACTTGTGACAACATGTTAAAAGGGGTAGCGGAAGGCTGAGCCCGCCCAGGGGTTGTGGTTACGCCGGACTCGACCATTGAGTGTTGGTGAGATTGGGGAGTATGTACAGCAAAGGAAAGGGCATGAAGGTGGTTGGATCTGTTTTGATCGAGTACACAAACGGACAGAAGTGGGGGTAGGCCTCGAGGAAGTCACGAAAGGTAATGACCTGCGCTCTATCCATGATATCAACATCGGCGACCATGAGGCAAAGGCTACGGGGGCGGAGTTGATGAAATGTCAGGGAAAAGCTGTAAAGAGTTCTCCCGTCGTCGCCAGAAAGGCTGATGATCCTCTCGATGAGCTCCCATGCGAGGCGAGGAGAGGCAAACACGATGGGCTGAGTCACGAAGCGCCCGTCTCCTGTCGAATTCATCTCTCTGTGCAGCCCGAAGAGGTCAATCAATGTCGGTGTATGTCTTAGGAATCGAGAACGTACACGTGAAGAGATTGCTCCTCAAGTGCTGTTTCTCCAAGTGAGCACCTCGCGAGTTCACCGAGTTCTTTCTCTTACGGGGTACCAAATCAGGATGCGTCAGTTGCGCTGAATGTCGAGGAGGACGAGCCGAACTCCGTTCTGTAGGCTATCGCCTATTTGATGCCCCTGTCGCGCCCGTTATTGTGCGACCTCGATCGCTCCCGAAGCTGGTCGTTTACATATATATCTGTGCATATATAAATATTTTGGGGGGGGGATATGTAGTACGCTGTATAGATCTTCTGTACACTTGGATGTTAGTCCGCGTCCCTGAGCACACTAGTACTTACTTGCATGCCCCATCTCGATGTTGATTAATATTGCTGCCACATATGACGGTGCATCTGTACAAAAAATAGGTGGGCAAGGTCGCGCGCGGTGCGTTCAAGTCCGTGATCGTGTTTGGTGCTGTTTTCCAGGTCCCAGCGTCTAGATTAACCCGGTTCTGTACTTCGAGCTGCGAGGATATTCAGTGTTACTGTACGCTTATCTCGTATTTTGTTACATTGAGGTCCTAGTCCTTACTTAAAACTCAATTGCTGGTTTCTCGGTAAGCATGAGCAGAAGCACAATGTAAGATCTAGGTGTTGTACTCGATTGCACTGAGGTTTGATGGCGGCAAATGAACTGATATGCTCGGCTATTCTCGGCCAGCGCTTGGCTTTCATCTCGAAGTCAGTCAACCTCTCCTGTCGATGACATCGGCGGAGATATATGCATTAATAGTGATAAAGGCATCTAATAACACACAGAGATCATTCAAAAGGCATGCTAGGGGAGACAACACCCGATAAAGGTACACGGTGAGGAGGATGCCCCGGGCGCTGAATCGCTTAGATTAGCTGCTATGCATCCGGATCAATCCAGTCCGATCTACTCGACAACGGAGTCAAACTGCAGTCGTGCTTTCAGTGTCAACTCCCAGGTCCTACGACAAGGTATTCTAGCCTACTTCCTAGACAAATATGCTCGCTAAGGTGGAAACCACAAACAACAGTAGAAACACACAGCAAGACCTGAGAGTACAATAAATGTACAATTATACCTCCATAGCCACATGCATATTCACGAACTGCGCACGTTGTGGGAAGCCGTCGTTGCACAGCACAACAGATAGCTGTATTCTATGGGCGCCTCCCGAGGTATACACGGACCCCACAACAGGCTGGGCCCACAACCTCGATGCTCCCTTTCCCCGTCGCCTTCTCCTCCCGCACCGACTCTAGAACACGACATTATCGCAGCACGCGCGACGTCCTCCTGACCAGGGCGCGCATCACGAACCTCGGCTTTCTGCTACTTGCTGGCTTCGCCGCGCTCTCGTTCCTGCTGAACCTCTGGCACTACTTTACCGACCTCACAACCTATGAACCGCAAGAGGGAAGGGGTCCGTACTCAGCCCCGAGGGGCATTTGGGAGACGCTTCAGAGAGACAAGTCGTTGGAGGAGATAGACCATTTGGTTATGGTGCCCGGTCACGCTATTTGGAAGGGTATGAGCGTAGAGGAGAGGCTGGATGAAGATCAGTGGGTGCTAGAGCCATACCAACGCGGAGGAGGGCGTATTTCTGCATTCTTTGCGCAAATTGTAGGAGGGTATGTTTCACCGTCAGGGCTTCATAATTCAAGAATTATTGGTGCTGACGACGGTTACAGCGCAGAGCTCGCGAGGGAGGACGAGCACTCGCTACTTGTCTTCAGCGGGTGAGCGGCTTCCAGTGTGATATCCAGCGTCGACACAATCTCATGGCAATGCTATCTCCTAGAGGTCAAACAAGACCCTCCTCAACAACGACAGAAGCAGAATCCTACATGCGCCTTGCCTCCGTCTCCGACATCCTCCCGTCCTCCCACTCTTCTTCCACCCTGCGCGCAACTACAGAAAACTACGCGCTCGACTCGTACCAAAACCTCCTCTTCTCCATCGCCCGCTTCCACGAGTACACCGGTCGGTGGCCCTCCAAGATCACCGTCGTCGGCTACGAGTTCAAGCGCCGCCGCTTCACCGAGCTTCACCGCGCCGCGTTACGCTGGCCCGCGGACCGCTTCGACTACATTGGAATTGACGCAGATGGCGACACCGAGCTGGCGCGTCAGGGCGAGGTGCGTTCTTCTCTTCCCGCACGCCCAGGAGGATGCTGATAAGCACCTTGCGCGCAGCTGCAAAACGGCTACCTGCCATACACGCAGGACACGTACGGCTGCCACGACACCCTGCTCTCCAAGCGGCGCGCGCGCAACCCGTCCATGCGCTTCCACCCGTACTACTCGTCCGCCCCCGCGCTCGGGCCCCTTCTGAACTGGTGCCCTGGGCGCGCGGAAGGTGGCCAGACCGCAGTGTACCCGGGGCCTCTGCCGTGGGACCACGGGACGGCCTTTGGGCGGGACTCATAGAGTGCAAGTGCGCATGGATAGACCCCAAGCCGCAAAGTACGGGTCGACGCGCTCGCTCTGCCGCCGTTGTGCAGCCTCGATGTCCGGTGCTTGCGCTGGAGCGTAGACGACCCGCCGGAACAGAGAGCTCAGAGGGAGCTCTGGGCAGCCTGCGCGGCTCTGCTCTTGGATGGGCGTTGTCGCGCACGCGCTAAACATCAGAGGGGGCACACCGCACCTCAAGTATCATGCAGTGGTCAGACATGGGCGCATACTGCTTAGGGTGTTGTACTTCCACTGCCAGCTGAGAAACCGCTTGTGTGTAGTTATACCCAATACGCCATGAGGGGTTGTATCATGCGTGCCTCCGGGTGCCATTGCGTAATCTCCACGAACACTCCAAGAACGAAATCGTGTACAGGAAGTAGAACCAGCCAAATCAGGGTCCCAGGAGCAGCTGCAATTTCTGAAGGTAAGTGCGGTGCAACAACCCGGTAGCCTCGCGCGCACAGCTACGTGGTCTCGAAACCAACTTCAATATATCATATTATATACCTGCCGTTCTGTAGCCCTAGAGACCTACGTCCGGACTCACATGTAATCATTCCCAACAGTCCAATACAACCCCACGCCCGCTTTCGATGCCGAGGAATGTTCCAGAGTAGAGCATTAGACGGCGCGAGTATCTGACTGAGAGTTTGTTATAGGACTTCATTCGCGAGCCAAGTGGCCCTTGAGATGGCTGGATGTGTCAAAATAATCTTACAGCAATGACAATGCACGCTGTCGAGAGTTTCCTAGGTACAGAAGTGGTGCGTACACAGGCAGTGGTACGTACAAAGGAGGGATGGATGACCAAGAACAGGGAGTGTACTGTTTGGTGATGCGGGTTGATACACGAGGGCCGACACGCGAATACATAAACCAGATAGAACATAAACAGTGGTAAGACGGCGGCAAAATTGATACAAACACAACAAGGATGGTGATGGTGACAGTGGCAGTGATGGAGTGCGAGAGACATATTGTACAACCCCTCCCGAGACCAAGATATGATATGCACAGGCTAACGAACAGAGGACTCGCCGAGACGATGTATGTATGGATATGAAGCTGAACGCGCAGACGAGACGACGTAGAGTCAATAGGAGTGAGCGACGGTGTGCGACAAGATATAGATAGAAAGTACGATACGATAGGTCGATTTCTCAACCGACGAAGGGTTGAGCCCCAAGAAGATGAACGAGCGTGAAGTTGCGAGGAGAGTGGTTGAACAGCGAGGCAGCTCTGCAAGCGCATCTGAGCCATGCGATAGCAGAGAAGACAGAATCTTGACGCGACGTCGGACACAGCATTGAGTCGAAGGATTGGACCGTACTGGTAGGAGGGACGATGAAAGCTGTCGAGATAGCGGAAGGGAGCTCATGACTTCCCGGTGAGCGTCTGGACAAATCCCTTGATTCCGCCGAAACGTTGCTTGCTAGAGCCACCGACGCCGCCGCTCCCGCCACCGTTCCGCGCATGCCCATACGGGGAGTGCGAGCGGGGAAACGTATCATGGACGAGCAAACCCATCTTCATGAGCTTATTGGCACGCGCCCGCTCACGCTCTTGCTCGCTCAGCGTGCGTTGAGTCACGATGTCAGGCGAAGCATGCCGGGGTGGGGCAGTGGACACGCGCGAGAGTGGGACGCCGAAGGTAGCACCGCCTGAAGGTATAGAACTCGGCTCGTCGAAGTATTGTCCGTCCGGGTCAGGTGTGCGCGAGCGCACAATTCGTGGAGGGCGATCGTCGGTAGAAGGTGGAGAAGATATCTGGGTGAGGGTGCGGTAAGAAGCGGGATGCCGGATAGAGGCGTTTCTACCGGGACTAGCACTCGTCGGCTGGAAACTCCCCAGGATGCTACTAGAGAGTGAGGACTTGTGTCCTACAGAAGTAGACTTGTGAGGGGATAGGAAGGTAGTCGTTGTATCGGAGGTATCGCCTGCCAAATGTTCAGCATGCGATCGCGGCTTGACACGAACCGAGAGTCTCACCATCTGCAGTATGAGGCCGTCTCGGCTTTCCCCTCCTCGGCGCAGGCGATACTACGTTTGGCCTCCCCGGAGCCTCCTCTAGGCTGAATTTCCGGAACTCTGAGCCTCTCGACGTCATCCGGTCTCTCGGGGTCGTCGGGCTCCCAGCAGGCGTCTCCCCATCCCCGATCCTGCTCCTAGCCGGACTGCGTGTGGTCGGACTGTCCAAGCCTCGCACGGTCCCCCTTTCCCTCTCTTCCTTCTCCTTGAATCGCCGCTCGATCGCGAGGCTCTCGCCATACGCAGCAAGCTTCGCACTGAGCGGGGTCCTCCCGACAGAGAGCGTACCCCCGTTGCCCGGTCCTATCCCGACGATAGCCCCTGGGTTGCTGCCAACGAGGCCGAGCCCCGGGAGCTCAATGTCGACGTCCTCCATATCTATGATACTCTTCTGCGCGCGCTGCACGAGCGCCTCGGCCTGAGCGTGCGATGAGATCGCGCGGATGTCGATATCGAGCGCTGGCGCCCGCGAGCGTGGCGGGGACATCGTCCGCGCTCTGTGCTGCTGCCGCTCGCGCTCAAGGAGGTAGTTCGTTCGCGACGCGGTCGAATCGGCGCGACTGCGTCCGCCCTCGAGCATGCCGTTCTCCTCCTGTTCGGACGGAAGGTCGAGCGAGCCCGCGCCGGGCGAGCGGATGTCAAGGCCGAGTACAGGCCCAGGCCCAGGGGTCTGGGGAAGACTCGCGTCCGTGCTCGTGCTCATGCTCCCGAAGCTGTCTCCACGCGCGCGGTTATCGAAGCCGTGGATGCCAAGGAGGTTGTCCCTCGACTGCGATGATGGGGACGGGGTGGCGTCCAGGGGTAGCGGCTGAGGTGGGGGCCGGTTGATGCTGAACGGACAGTCGAACCCTGACTCTGGGGGAGCGGTGGGAGAGGGGAGGGGGGACTCTGTCGAAGACTCGCGGGAGAGCTGCGAGTTCAGCGACGGTCGGCGGTGAATCTGACCCTCTTCCGTCTTCAACTCGTTCAGGCGCGACTTGCCCTCGGCCGGTAACGCCAATCCGAGACCGATGCACGGCGAGATGACCTCCCCATAGCCCTCCTCATCCTCATCATCTATGATCGTATAGTTGCGGTGACGATGATTTGTAGCGTCCACGCTCGGATCCCGCTCGCGGTCCCTGAGTCTCGTCTGCGAAGACGGACTCCACGGAGACCTCGGACTGGCTGTGGAGGACGGGTTCTCAGCTCGGAGAGAAGAAACGCTTCCGCTCGCCTTGAGATCCAAGTTGAGCCCCGACCGCTTCGCCGAGACAGATGCGACCTCTGAGCTCGAATCGAACCGCAGCGACCGAGCAGAACCCTCACCCGCTGCTCGCCCTTCGGGCAGCTGCACTGACGACTGGCCGGACGACGCGGAGCGGCCATGCGGACGGAGGATGCCGGGGCGCCCTGTGGGGCTCCGATGCCCCTGGAGATGCTGTGGGCTCTGCGCTTGACCTGGACTGAGCGGGAGAGGTTGGTGCTGGGGCGACGGCGACTGCGCGGATCGCTGCTCCGCGGGGGTGCTCGGGTGCTGTTGCTGAGTCGAGGACGACCCTGAGCTAGACCGAGCGCGCAAGCGTTCCATTGAGAGCTTGCGGTGGAGCTCAACAGCCAAAGGGGGGAACGCGGCATCCGTCGTCGGATTGTACGATTGCAGGGACTCGCTCGTGCTTCCCAGCCTGCTCCGGTTGCTCGGCACGGTCGACATCGCTGGCGCTACGATGGACGGGGACGAACCGTGAGCGGACGATAGGGGACCTGCTTCCGATGCCCGGGACCTAAGTGGGGAGTGGGCTGATGGGCCTCGACTCCGCTCCCGCGGGTGTTCGCCCCCGTGCTCACGCTCAGGAGCAGGCGATGCGGATGCGGAAGTCAGGGCTGAGCTGGACGACGCGGACGCATAGCCTGAGCTCGTGAAGCTGTCTCTACTCTCAGGCGTCGTAGGACCGCCGGCGCCACCCAACGACGACACCGAAGACGCTGACTCTCCTGCGGACTTCTTGAACATAGACAACAGTGACAGCTTCCCCCGCAATCGCCCAGGGGTGGAGGACGATGTGTCGGCATCCGTCCCGGCGGACCGAGGACGCCGTGATGACGAAAATGACGGTCGCCCTGAAGACTTGCCGTGATGACGATTTGATCCCTGGGCGAGGCTTGAGCTCATGGAATGACTATGGACCGGGTGGGGCGGCGTGTCGAATATCTGGGGTAAGGAGGGACGCCGACCCTGGTTCTGCGGAAATTCATGCCCCGTTGAGGTCGCGGGTGAAGACTCGAGGGAAGCCGAGCCCACGATGGGCGGCGACATGGTATATGACCCGTCGTACGGTATTGTTCCGGAAGAAGGTGGGGTAGGGAAGGGGGGTTTGAGCATATTCATAGCGTTGTCAATGGAGGATTTGACCTTGAGCCTCTTCTCGCGAATTCTGCTCTCGAAGTCTGATTTGGAAAATATGCTGGCGCAATCGGACTCGGGTGCGGGTGCGGAGACGGCGCCGCTTACGGCCTCGCGCTCTCGGAGGTCCCTATCCTTCTCGTGGGTCCACTTACTGAGTATTTCGGCACATCGAGTCCACCCGTTCTGTCGGGCGACAGCCTCCGGTGTGACCCCGTGTTTGTCAGGGCGATCAGGATGAGCGCCATGGAGAAGAAGAGTGAGGACGACCTGTTCGTGTCCGTTCGCCGCGGCAAAGTGGAGGGGGGTAGAGCCAGACGTTCCAACGATGGGCGCCGAATTGGCCCTGTGTTTGTCGCTAGAGTATTTGCGGGGAAGCCTGAAGGAGCATACAAGGCCGATATTTTTCGATTAGGGGAGCGAGAGGGGATGAGTGAGTACATGATGGGAAGGGACAGGAGAGCCACGCACCTTGGGGCGTTCACGTCTGCGCCGCGCTCGATAAGCAGACGGACTATGAGGTCGTTTCCACCAGAGCTCGCGACATGGAGAGGGAGAACGCCATCAACGACTGAGTTAACGGGTTGACCGTGGTCCAAGGCATAGGTTACGAGGCCGAGGTTCCCAGACGACGCGGCGGAATGGAGACCAAGGTGGGGGACTATATGGCGTATGGAAAGTCAAACAGCATATACAAGATACATGTATAGAAAGCTCGTACAGTCGAGGGTGACGTTATATTTGGCCTCCGCACGTTGGTTCCTCGAAACACCAGGCATGGGGAATAGAAGAGAACGAACAGGCGGGAAAAAGGCCTAGCAGAGAGCGCGGGCAGTAGCAATTGACATACGCCCCTTGGGCAGATATAGATAGGCGAGGATCAGTGGGCTTGAAGCTGTGAGATCTGGCGCTATCCGCAGATTTGTAGCACCGGAGAGCCTCGAGTTTCAGCAGGGTGAGACTCGTAAAGCAAGTGCTCGAAGAGGTCAGAACATGGGTGCGAGCTCCTCGAGGGTGATTGGGAAGCGTCCAGGGAGATGACGCCGCGGCCAGCGATACGGGGGAGGGGTGTCGAGAAGGAGAGAGAAGGAGGAAGAGGGCAGGGTCGGGTGAGAAGAGGGACTCCAGGGCCGTCTAGGCGCTCTGCTTGACAAGACGCAGGCGCCGGGTCGAGGACCCTGAGCGCCTTCCATTAATTGCGTTGTATCCCGCCCATCTGACCCCGCCTCGCTCTCAACGTGCGCACAGTTTGCAGCTGCTTCCATCCAGAGACCGCACAGATTCTTCTTCATTCTTCTGTTCGTCGTAAGGCAGCTTGCCCCATATATTCATATCATCACTGCAATTTACTCGTCGCACACCCCTGACCAGGCCTCGCTCCCCTCGCTCTCTCCGTCCGCCAGAATATTGTACGGTCCCTCGAAACAGTTCTGTCTATCTCTCGTCGCGTCGTATGATATGGCATGCGATGCCTTTGCCTCAAAAGCGATCGTTGAATTCCGATAAAGGAGTCTTGCGCCACACCCTGCTCCATCCCCGAGCTGTCTCGATGGCGACCTCGTGGAGGCTCTCTCCCCGCTTCTCTGCACAGCGCTAGCAGGTCTCCCATGCCACAGATGCAGTGATCATCAGCAGCCCAACTTCCTGTGTCTCCCCGTAGGCTATGCTTGTCCTCAGCGCATTGGCAGCCGTGCACGCGAGAGCTCTTGCCCAATCCTGTCCTTCTTTCTTCCATCGCACCGATTCGGTGCTTCTGCCTCCGGTAGGTTCTGCGCCGTCCACCTGGCACCGTCCACCTGGCACCGTCCATATTGCTTGCGCGTCACGCCCATCGCCTGGTATCCAGCTACTCATTTTCCTCGGTGATCCGATTTTTTCGTGGTCGTGTCCGCCTCTAGGCTTGCAGCCCACGCTATGACGATTACTTGCCCGTCCGTTCTCCGGCCAAATATTGCCACGGCATGCATGGTCTCCCTCACCTTGTGCTCACGAGCCTCGCGCCGCCTCATGCCTCCTTACTTACCTCCGTGCACCAATCGGGCATAACCTAAGCACCGACTCGGGCGGGGGAAAACATCCGGCAACTTCCTCGCCATCTGGTATCGGCTTATCTGACCTTCCTTGCCTCTTTTCTGTGTGGCGCTTATCAATATCGAAGGCCTCTTTCCGCAACTGCGCAAGCGTGAACCCTCTCCACAAGCCCGTGGCGTTTGCTCTGCAAAGCTTCCAGGCTTGGTGCGTACAAACATCTATATAGGGATAACTTCGGCGTACGTGGTGTCTTCATGATGGCGTAGTTGAAAGGGAAGTTATGTCCAGTTGATCAATTGATCAGTTGATCATGTTGCTGATATGTTAGGGGTGCTCAATTCTTGTCGGTCGCTCAGTTGCTCGCGCGCCTATTGGGCGCCTGCCTAGCTTCATTCAAGGTCAGCTCAAGCGTCTGCAGCACAGCGAGCAGAGACACGCAGGCAGCGGGCGCAGAGAGATCGACAAGATCGTCTCATGCTGGGTTTGTTAGGCCCGGGAAACCAGCCCAGTGTCACGGACGCTGGACAGACGCCCCTTTTTGCCGCCCATTCCCCTCCCCTTGACGCCCACCTTCCATTCTCGGACCATTTCCTTTCTTAGCCCATCCCAGTTTGGACACTGTAGATACGTTCCCACTGCCACATGCTCCGTTCCCGTGATCACCATGCTCTTGCCTTTCCTTTCTCGCCCTTTGTTCTCCCTTTGTCATCTTCACTGCCTCGCTCTCGCGCCTTGTCTTTGGTTGCTAAGCAGCCCTTCTAGTATATAAGGACCCCCCTTAGGCGCTCCCTAGTCCCCATCTCGACCTCTTGGTCATTGGGACTAGGTGAGTGACCATAGCGTTGTATCTCCCTTCGATTGCTAATGTATAACTTGGTCATTGGGACTAGTCTGTCGCTCTC